AACGCAGCGTTCCTACGGGAAAGTAACGGTAATCTAATTACTGTTTTTGCAATAGTAATCCCTTACTTAAGTAAAAAGTAATCAGATTATATGCCCATCTCTGGTGTTAACACATACTCAACATGTTTCAGAAAAAAGCAATCTGCTGTTTTAGTTCACCAACTGGGCTTTTATTGTGAAACTCAAAGGATAACAAAGCCAGGTGGCATCCTCTTTCTATAATTTCAGATCAGGATCTTCTGTTTAGGTCTAATGCATATTATCTGACAGACAAGTCTTTGTTTTATTTAGATTTTTACAAAAAAGAGTGAATTAAAAAAATGAGTCTGTGCCAAAATGAACAAAGGAACATAAATTATGTTAGGAAAAGTCAACATACGTATCTTTGGTCTATTTTTTCTCCCTCATGCTTCAGGGTCATAGGCTTTCTTGAGTGTAATTTATGATTTTATTGAATGTACTTGTTTTTGTAATGTGCGTTTGTGCAGATATTACAAGCGGCTGCAAACCCTTGTCAAAGACCCTCGACACGACTGCGTGCTGTTTGCCAATGAATTTCAGAAGTACTCTTACTGTCCACGAGAGAAGGGCGAGAGCCAGGAAAAATGGCAGACCAGGTCAGTGCTCATTATTCACCACACTCACTGAAGTGTTCACATTAGCTTGTGCTGCGCTACAGTCAAGATGCTGCAGCACATGTAGCATAGAAATACAGTCTATAGAGTCTTTTCCTTTTTCCTCTTTGTCATGTTTTTTCTTGTACTTATACTTCTTTGACTTGTTTTTCTGGGTCAAAGTGTGACGTTATTACGAGATTATGCTAATTAAACATATTCAGTTCTTCAGTAAAGCAGAAATACTTACACCATGGGAAGTCCCCAATATTGCCTATTGCAGCGTAACTAAGGGAGGATTCAGGGTCACTCAATCCAGCCATGACTAGAGCTGCGAAATAACTTTTTCTCGATAGAAAAGTTAAACTATTGCGATAGACCTCACTGCTCTTGTCCTCTTAAAAAAAAAAGAAAAGAAGAACAGCCAATCCAAAT